TTTTTAATGGTTGATGGCAAAATTGTTGTAAGTCCTTCTTTATATCATGTAAGTTACTGCAGTTTTGCAGTCAACCCTCGATCGGTCTTATTAGCTCACCTGTCACAAAGTGACAGGGTGAGCTTTTGTGATCGCTTTTCGTCCGGCGTCCGTCCGTCCGTCCGTCGTCCGTCGTCCGTCCGTAAACTTTTGCTTTAAATAACATCTCCTCATAAACCACTGAGCCAATTTCATCCAAACTTCACAGGAATGTTCCTTTGGTGGTCACCTTTAAAATTTGTTCAAAGAATTTAATTCCATGCAGAACTCTGGTTGCCATGGCAACCGAAAGAAAAATCTTTAAATATCTTCTTTTAAACAACCCTAAGAGCTAGAGCTTAGATATTTGGCATGAAACATCTTCTAGTGAGTGTCTACCAAGTTTGTTCAAATAAAGGCCCTAGGGTCAAAATTGGCCCCGCCCCAGGGGGTCATTGATTTTCCCTATATGCATATAGTAAAAACTTAAAAAATCTTCTTTTAAAGAACCCAAAGAGCTAGAGCTAAGATATTTGGCATGAAACATCTTCTAATGTGTGTTTACCAAGTTTGTTCAAATAAAAGCCCTTGGGTCAAAATTGGCCCCGCCCCGGGGGGTCATTGATTTTCCCTATATGCATATAGTAAAAACTTAAAAAATCTTCTTTTAAAGAACCGTAAGAGCTAGAGCTTAGATATTAAGCATGAAACATCTTCTAGTGAATGTCTACCAAGTTTGTTCAAATAAAAGCCCTGGGGTCAAAATTGGCCCCGCCCCAGGGGGTCATTGATTTTCCCTATATGCATATAGTAAAAACTTAAAAAATCTTCTTTTAAAGAACCTAAAGAGCTAGAGCTAAGATATTAAGCATGAAAAATCTTCTAGTGAGTGTCTACAAGGTTTGTTCAAATTAAAGCCCTGTGGTCAAAATTGGCCCCACCCTGGGGGGTCATTGATTTTCCCTATATGCATATAGTAAAAACTTAAAAAATCTTCTTTTAAAGAACCATAAGAGCTAGAGCTTAGATATTAAGCATGAAACATCTTCTAGTGAATGTCTACCAAATTTGTTCAAATAAAAGCCCTGGGGTCAAAATTGACCCCGCCCCAGGGGGTCATAGATTTTCCCTATATGCATATAGTAAAAACTTAAAAAATCTTCTTTTAAAGAACTCAAAGAGCTAGAGCTAAGATATTTAGCATGAAACATGTTCTAATGGGTGTCTACCAAGTATGTTCAAATAAAAGCCCTGGGGTCAAAACTGGCCCCGCCCGGGGGGGGGGGTTAATTGATTTTCCTTATATGTGTATAGCAAAAACTTAAAAATCTTCTTTGAAAAAACCCAAATAGCTAGAGTTTAGATATTAAGCATGAAACATCTTTAAGTAAATATCTACAAAGTTTGTTCAAATAAAAGCCCGGGGGTCAAAACTGGCCCTGCCCAGGGGTGTCATTGTTTTTAACTATATGTGTATAGTAAAAACTTTAAAAATCTTCTTTTAAAAAACCCAATGAGCTAGAACTTAGATGTTTAGCATGAAACATCTTCTTATGGGTGTCTACCAAGTCTGTTCAAATAAACAAATAAAAGCCCTTGGGTAAAAATTGGCCCGGGGTGGGGGTGGGGGGGGGCTATATACAGGTGAGCGACCTCAGGGCCATCATGGCCCTCTTGTATTTTAAATCCTGCTCCCTGCAAACTCATGTTTTAAGTGCATCCTGATGTTGATGCATGAAGAAAAGGTGCATAATAACCCAGTTATGAAAAATGTAGCGTCTCCCCCATACTCAAACATTGACTTAAGTATTGATCAAGTTTTTTTTGCCATTCATTTCTAGATCTAGGACCTCAGTGTCTCCTTCAATGGTCCCTTATTGTTAAAACAGATGTCACATATGTTTATTCATTTTCTTTTATGTCCATTTGATTAGATTCTAACTAGATTGACCTGATATTATACATGTTTAAAACACCATCAACATATTTCTTAAGGCTGTTTTATATTGGATACTGACAACAGATGTTGTTGTTTTAATCCATTACATCATTTTCTATCTTTTAGTGTAAAAAAAAGTTATTGATATTATTCTATTTTTTCTCTTTTTTTCTCTTTTTGTGCTGTTGCACTGTTAATTTGAACTGGATTAGCTGCATATTTGAAAATACTATTATAATGGGGATTGACCAAATTACTGATAATAACAAATGTTCAAGATAAAATATAAAAAATATCAAAGAGTCTGCCCCATTCTTTTTAGCAATTAGATATTACTGAAAAATTCTAAACGATATTCATGGAAATTCATAGAATCCCCTTTTAAGTCACATGTGTTATTGTTTATTCGTGTGAAGTAGAATTTAAAATTGAAAAAAAAGAAAAAGCTCAAAGCAATTGTGCTAAAATGTAAACTTATTTTTACATTTACCTGTATACACTGACCATTTACACTTGATAGGTATATAAATTAATGCCACTAGAACAGTACAAGGTGCATTTCTTATGTATGAAACAAAGATCGTTAAAATACCCAAGTTCCAAAATTTGTTACATCTGAAAGTTGAAAATTTGACCTTGAAGGTCAAGTTCATTTAGAGGTCAAGGTGACCTTTTTGTGTGTAAAAACAAAGTCCTCATTCAATAGTTTTTTTTAAAGTATAAAGTTTCTACCATTTTGGAAAATTTGACCCTGAAGGTCAAGTTCATTTAGAGGTCAAGGTGATGTTTCAGTATCTCAATATGTAGCCCTTTACTTGATGGCAATTTTTTCTATAAGTATAAAGGCTTTAGCTTACAGATAAATGTTATAGCCAAGATTTGTTGTACTCTTGTAAAGAAAATAACGCCCCCATTCCTATTACACACCTAATAAATTGTATTGCAAACTTCCATCCATGCAAATCTCTATTCTGGCTTACAAGCAAATACTTAACATTTGCTTTAACAATAGCAACGTGAGTTTTTCCAGCTTTCTGTTACATTAGAATAAAAATGATTTACTTTTCATCGTTAACAATCAGCCAGTTAACAGCTGTTCTATTCACTTGATACAAATTCTTATTATAATATTCGAACAAGCATGCTGTACACCATTATATTAACACATACATTATATAGGCTTCTTTTCAGGACCTGAGAAAATGTTAATGTATCAATTCACAAATATGGGATGTGGATAATCAATATAGTATATAATATACATTGTATATACACATTATATCTTCAAACTAGGCCATCCAAAGGAGAGACCATGCATGGCCTTTATAGACAAGTAGTCTTTATTTGAGGTTTACTTGGCTGTATTTTTATGTATTTTTATCAATGAAGGTTTATCAATGAGTGGTCTTTATTTACAGGTTGGTCTTTATACAGAGGTATAGTCTTAACCACAGGTTTAACTGTATACATACATGACTTTTAACTTAAATTTCTCAGATATTTGAGAAGATGATGATGGACACTTACCAAAAAAAAAAAAAAAAAAGAAAAAAAGAAAATGGATGCTGGACAAGTTCATCAAGAATTCCAGCATGTATTACCTGCCAATTTTATAAACCCTGACCATGTCCTAATGGACTTGTCTTGAATATGAAATGATTTCTCATCATTTGTTTAATAAGGGCTCATTATTTGTTTTATGGAGCTAAAGGTATATAAAGCCTAAGCAATGTCATGTATTAAGGGCAAACATGTATTTTATAATGTTGTAATAATGGGGAAGCTTATTACCTTAAAAAAATAATGCTGATATTGAAAGTATACAGCTAAAGCTGATGTATTTTATAATATTTGTAACTTTGATTCTTTTGATGCAGTTGTCTAGTGAAAAATTAATATGTTTGTTACAGTTCCTTTATGCAATGTTTTTGAAATATATATTCTGAATTATTGAAAATAAAACTTTTATTCGTAAGGTAGGTTCCTGGCTTGAATGTTAAAGATTTGTTTTTTTCTATGAAGAATATAATTATGTTTAAAACTCATTTGTTTTTGTTTCCTGTAGTCAGTCAATAAATCAATTAGTTAATCAATCAAATATTCATCAATTTATCAACTAAAGAATGAGTAGCAAATACAAACTATACAATTGATGATTTGTTTGATAAGCCTTAACTTTTTTTAAGCTTAATATTAATCTGCAAATACATTAGGGGGTATATGATAACCTTTCAGTTGATTGAAAAGTTGAAAGATATTTAAATTTTAAGTTCAAATACTTTATGCAATTGTTTTAAAAGTTACAAAGGTCCTAACTCCATAGGATTTAGAACCATTTTTGCATAAGCACGTTTGATAAATATTACTTTATTTGTAAAACATACAACTTTGGTTTCAAATGTTTTTTTTTTATTAATAACATTACTTATTACATGTACTGAATTAATTTTAAAATATTTCAACTAAAATTTCATAAAATGACTGACATTTACACAGTGTCAGAATAATGTCCTTTTAATTTTAATATATGTACTTTAAAATTATGTAAGAGTTATTCTTCTTGACACAGTCTACAAAGCACAATACAATTACAAAAGACAGACTTCCATTTCATTCAAATGCACATATGTACGTAGAAGCTTCAATTAAATTATACATGTATGATTGTATCATATGGTGGGGAAATATCAATGAAATACATTCTGCTTGTTGTTAATTGAATATATTTCATTACAATTATTATTAAGCTTTTTATTGATTTTATTCACATGCAATTTAAATTTTCTTCATTTTAAAATAACTAAATACATAATTATGTATATTTGTATATTTATTTGACTATAACTTACAATGTTGTTAACCTATAAACCGGTCATGGATACATATGTCAAGTTGGATCATTTGAGTATGAGAATATTGGACATAAAACATGTGACAGCCATAGAGAGTTGACTGTCGAGATTTGTATTTAACTCGTTAACATTTTAAATAACTTGGGATGCTTAATGATGATTGTATTCTTTATTCTTTGTGTTTGTTCCAGTAACGTGATTAGTTTGGCAAGTGATTTAACCGGAAGAGTGGTGGACGATTTAAACCAGATCTATCCATCGGACGTCGTGTTAGAATACCCGTATAAAGTTGACGGCGGAAATCGTGTAAAGAGGGACTGCTCACATGTCGCCTACGGTCACTTAGATAGTCAAACATATCCCGCACATGGGACAGTGGGTAAAGATGGGAAAGGAGTTTCCGATAAACTGACGTTACCAATTGTTGATTCTCAGCAATTAACTGTTACGGTTTTTGGAAGAAATGTGAAAGTACATATAGCATACGCAAATAACCCCATGAAGACTTTCTCAGTGTACGAGCCGCTACACGAGGGCACGTGCAAACTCAGAGATAAAACAATGAATTTAGCTAAAGTACAAGTAACAGCAGAAAGCAAACGATGCCTCGTAGCAACAAATGCAGGATTGTTTAACACACATAACGGAGCTTGCTATGGTTAGTTTAGCCTTATTTATTTTACATCAGTTATAATGAAAACTCGAAACTTTTTTTTGATGAATGCTTTGTCGGCTTTCTAGAAGTTATTTACCAGTACTGGTGCCATGTGAGGAAACATTCTTGGCGTTTTATTTTTGCTTTGGTTTTAAATCCTGTTTAGGTCATGATTTGGCAGCTAGACAGATCAAAGTCAATTCTTAGACATACATGTAGCAATCCTTAGACAGACCCACCACACATAACCACTGCCTGTCATAATTTTGATCATAATCATTCTGTGCATGAATTGATACTATTTTTATTACCAGTACATATGTAATACAAATTATCCTGGACATTTCATAACAAACCTCATAATTTTGTACACAAAATTTAAATTTAATGTAGAAGAATTTAGTAGAAAGCTGAAAGTTTTGACAGGAACTCCCAATTCTTATAATTTTACAGATTGACTGTAAGAAGTGAACTATTCAACTGCAGTTTAATATTTTTTAAGGAAAATCAAACATTTTTATATCATGGTTTTATCGGTGTTCATTAAAATTGTAATAATTATGGACACATACACTTTTTCAGTATCGAAAGTTGCATTAAGATTTTTCTCTTAATAAATTTACAGAAGATCTTTTGCTGTTGTAATTTTGTTTAAAAGGACTAAAAGATGAAAACTAATAATTTGCCAACATTTTGACTTGAAAATGTTTACATGCACTTTCATTCCACCCATATACAATATAACATATTAATAATTTTGAAATTCTAGTTTTGAAATTATTTTTATGTCCAGTTTTAATATTTATACATTTTTGCCCTCAAGGTATGTAAGTTCTCACTAACTTTGGTGCAATACTGTAATATTTTAATTTAAATAATAGTCATAAAATTTGAGTGAAATATCAAAGTTGGACGGTCTATGTCTCAAGGCATGTGGGAAATGTTAAATTGTCAATCAAAGGGACTGCACATGGACGGATGACCTTTGACTTATTTAAACATAGGACAGGATAAAGGTGAATTAAAAACTGCCAATCATTTGGCAATGAACTTGTAAAATGTTTGAGCCCTGTCATGACAAAACCAACATAATGGGTTTGTGACCATCCGTGCAGTCTAATCAGGATCCATGCTGTTCGCTATCAGTTTCTCTACTTGTAATAGGGTTTGTAAGTGAACAGCATGGATCCTGATCAGACTGCGCGGATGCGCAGGCTGGTCTGGATCCATGCTGGTCGCAAACGCATTATGTTGGTTTTGTCATGAGGCGGCTCATTTATGCCAATAAACTATTTGACTTCACCTGGTTAGTACTATCCCTGCCTAAGTCAGGGTCAAGTATATACATGTATATATTGTATGAAAAATAACATCAGCTTTTATGTTTAAATAACTATTTTAGTTTAGAGTCTGGTCATTTTGCCTTGAAAATTTCATAATTTGGAAAAAATATTTGGTAGACTTCTACCTTTTGAAAACTCCTTTCTGGCTTTTTGGCATAGTATTTTGTGACATGGTATAATTGTGAGACATTGATTATTCTAATCAATACAAATATCAACCAGAGCTTAACAAGTACAATAAAATTTGACTATAAAACCCATTCAAAGATGAGGAAACATCAGTTTGTTGGGTTTGTTAGATACTGGAATGAACTTCAGCAAGTTTTTCAGTTTGGTTATTGTTAATTACAGTTTGATTGGGAATTTTTATATAAATATTGGGAAACAATAAGATTATGAGCCCTTGGGAATGGGTCTGATAATCTGATCCCTGGTGACATTGGGATAAGACTTGACATCATAAAAAAAATGAAAACATTAAAATTTGATTGTAAACAATATTTTTATTGTCAGTATCAAATGGATATTGTTGTAAATGTTGCAATATGTCTAAAATAACCATTAGTTTGCTATAATGCAGATATGAGTGGTGACTGTAATGATACAGAGTTCAACAAAATGAGTGTTAGAAAAAATGGGAGAAAATATTTATCACATAAACTAAATGTCATGTCTAGAACTTAAATTAAATAGCTTGTTTAATATGAATATATATGTATATTTTGTAATGAAATGTTATATTTGTTTTATCAGGTAATATAGTGAGTGATGGTAGATTGGTACAAGATACTGAGGGGGTACAGAATGCTCATTTTGGTATAACAAAGTCGGGAGAAATTTTCACTGGGTAAGTTATAACATGATTATATATGGTTCTTAATGTATTGTCATATGTTATATTAGTGGTACGATAATTTTTCACCAAGCCATTGATTAGATGTAAGGTGTTCTGGTCTAGGTAATATTATTAGTATGTTCTGAGACAATGAATACTTGAATGGGATTTACTTTTATAACATACAGGAGGTGTATAGTAATGATCATTCAGACTTCAGAAATGCACAGATATGAAATTTTGAGGGTCGGTCCACAATTTCTACAATTTATGTATAATAAAGATAAGCCGTTTACTGTGTGTCATTCTTTTGGGAAAAAGTCTGAGTCTATGGAACGTTTTGAATATTGAAAGTAAATGAATAATATTGGTAAGCTGTAAAGAAAAAAATATCACAATAATAGGCAAGTTATAAATTTTTGGACTCCATTTTGCTTTTTTTTAAAGGAGTCCCTTTTCTGGACCTTTCTATTTGTGGGTGGGGGGATGTTAAATACTGCAGAATGAAATAAAAACTATTAAATAAAAAAGGATAATTATGATATTTGGATATACATTAAAGTCATTTGAAATACATTCACTTCCATATTTAGGAACTTTCAGAAAAAATAAATTTAGTTTTTGTTTGTATGTAATTGTTTAAAGTGATTGACAAGAAATCATATATTTTTACAGATATCTGTCCGAGATCGACCTAGTTAAAGATGATTTCTTACAACTAGTGGGTGGGGTAATCTGGGTTCTTAAAGACGGCCACGATCATGTAGACGAAAGTATAAACAGTGAGTGTAGGGATACAGAAGAGACGGGCACATTGCAGACGTTTGCCTCCGTGATTTCTGCGAGAACTCTGGTCGGTCACGACAAACAGGGCCGAGTGATGATAATGCAGGTCGAAGGGAAGACAGGAGTCGCTGGGTAAGTGTTTAGCTTTTCTCGATCAAAATACCACTTGGAGCCAGTAAGATTAATCACTGAAGTTTGTACCTTACTAGTACCTTGTTTATGCCATGACTGGGATTCAAACTCACAATTTCCCGCTTACTATTGAAAGTTATAATGCTCTATACCACTGAGCCAAAGAATCCAATTCCTGATGCAGTTGTGTGAGGTTGTACTTATAGTTATTCAGGTTGGGGGCACTCAGCCCTAACAATTTAACTCGTTCTTAACTACATAATTATTCTTTCCATTTAATTTTAGGGCAAGTTTGTATGATGCTGCAGGTCTGATGAAGGATCTTGGTGCTGTGAACGCCATAAATCTGGACGGTGGTGGGTCATCAACCCTCGTCATGAACAATACTCTAGTCAACCATCCCTCTGATAAATGGTAATTATTGTCTTATTAAGTTTCACAAAAAGTAAGGACAATTATAGCGACCCAGTTTTTTAGCTCGACTATTCGATAAGAATAAGTAGAGCTATTGTAGTACCCCGAGCGTCGGCGTCGGCGTAACCACTTATGTTAAAGTTTTTGTAATAGTTTAAATATTTTCAAAGTCTGTTGACATATGGCTTTGAAACTTTGCACACTTGTTCACCATCATTACCCCAACCTGTAAACAGGAGGAGGTAACTGTATCAAGCATTTTGACAGAATTATGCCCCTTTTTCGACTTAGAATTTACGTTAAAGTTTTTGTAATAGTTCAAATATTTTCAAAGTCCATTGACATATGGCTTTGAAACTTTGCACACTTGTTCACCATCATGACCCCAACTTGTAGACAGGAGGAGGTAACTCTATCAAGCATTTTGACAGAATTATGCCCCTTTTTTAACTTAGAATTTATGTTAAAGTTTTTGTAATACCTCAAATATTTTCAAAGTTCATTGACATATGGCTTTGAAACTTTGCACACTTGTTTACCATCATTACCCCAACCTGTAAACAGGAGGAGGTAACTGTATCAAGCATTTTTTTTACTATCAAGCACTAAGAATAGTCGAGCGTTGCTGTCCTACCGACAGCTCTTGTTTGGTTTGAAAGTCAAAAAAACACTTTGTTTACATTTAGCTACTGTTATAAGACTTGAAAATCTTACATCAATTTAAATTGAAAAAGATAATAAAGAAATACAAGTATACATGAAAATAAATTCAAAATCAATCTTTATGGCAATAAACAATAAATAGAGGATATTGCGCGAGGGTAGGTTAAATACTAGTCACGTAAAAAAAATTCAGTAGAGTTCTTTTAAGCCTTTAAATGTTCTTTAGATATAAACTTCAAAGTTCAGGCACGAGGATACATGTGCATATAACAAGGTTTTGAATTTTATACTTTATAGCGGGAAATACAATTGTGCCAGGAAAATATCTACAATATTATGCGTGCACGAGCCGCATTGTTTATCCAAAGATTGCAGTGGACATGGTGTGTGTGAGTTAGGAGAATGCCGTTGCCATGGTTATTGGAAAGGAATTAACTGTGATAAATTAGAATGTCCAGGGGACTGCAGCAATCATGGTGTTTGTGCTGAGGGTATGTAAACATGTTTTATTTCAAACTTTAAACCTGCTATATTTGTGTAATGGATTTGCCCAGTTTTTGAATTTGGAAAATTCCATTTGAGCCGCACCAGGACAAAACCAACATTGGGGTTTGCGATCAACATGGATCCAGACCAGCCTGCGCATTTGCGCAGTCTGATTAGGATCCATGCTGTTCGCTATTAGTATCTCTTTTTGTAATAGGGTTTGTAAGTGAACAGCATGGATCCTGATCAGAGTGCGCAGATGCGCAGGCTGGTCTGGATCCATGCTGGTCACAAACGCACTATGTTGGTTTTGTCATGGAACAGTCCATTTGAACATTAAGGAGTTGAAATATCGAAATATAAAAGTTGAGCTACAGACAGTATCGAGCCTGGTCAGACTGGTCGAGCCTGGCTCTATACTAGTGATTTCATGTAATTATATCCGATTCCAGCAAATAAAGGCTTAAATATCATCTAAACTTATCTTGGAACCATTTGAATCTGTAGGTTTCTGGATTTAACAAGTACTGGAGCCATGTTAGGAAACATGGCAGCTTGAACTTATATGAAGCCATGATCCCATGTCAAGTGGTTTAACACCCTAACCACTAGGCCACTGCTTCTGCTTTGATACATAAATCTTATGTTGTCCAATTAACTTGGTCAAGAGCGTTTACCTGAAGATGCATATGTTTGTTTTTATGGCAAGACATGCATATTTTTTCTGAATTTTTAAGTTTTATTTTTTTTTTCATGGAAGTGTATATGTTATAAAAGACTTCATTTTGAATCATGAAATATATTTTATGATTTCAAGCAGTTGGGTGTATTTGTTTACCTGGTTACCATGGTAAAAACTGTTCCTCCTCGTGTAAAGATGGTTGGTATGGTAACCAATGTGAGCAGCAGTGTCAGTGTGAGAATAACGCAACCTGTGATTCAATCACCGGAGAATGTTCCTGTGAGCCGGGATATTCGGGACGTCTCTGCCAATATCGTAAGATTTTTGTTATACATGCAAACAACCCTTTATATGGGGGCCATAACACCTGTCAGAAATCTTTAAAACCAGATATATTATCAGATATTAGGGGAAACTAAAGTTTAGAGAGATACTTTATTAGACTGTGAATATTTATATATACAGATATGCAATTTAAGTTTTTAGAAATTTGTTTTCTGCGTTTTGTTCCTTATGCATGTAAATAATTGTGCCCCCACTATAGGGTGGGGGGGGACATTTAGATTTACCCTTGTGATTTAAGATTTCAATGGATTTTTTTAAATATTTTGTTATTATTTGCTTAGCTTGCTGATGTGCAATTGGAATTAATTATGTCAGTATTTTTATGCCCCCGCCATATAATGGCAGGGGCATATAGTGTTACCCTGTTCCGTCATTCCGTCATTCCGTCCTTCCGTCATCATCAGTTTCCGTTCATTATCTTAATAACCCTTGCACATATTGAACTCAAATTTGACATATGGATATGTCATGAGAAAATACAGGTCAGGTTCGAAATTGGTCATGGTTCGATGATTTTTGGCAGAGTTATGCCCCTTTTACATTGAAAATAATATGAAATTTTCAGTTTCCGTTCATTATCTCCCAAACGGTTCAAAACATTCAATTCAAAATTGACATATGGATATGTCATGAGAAAATACAGGTCAAGTTCGAAATTGGTCATGGTTCGATGATTTTTGGCAGAGTTATGCCCCTTTTACTTTGAAAATAATATGAAATTTTCAGTTTCCGTTCATTATCTCCCCAACGGTACAACACATTCAACTCAAACTTGACATATTGATATGTCATGAGAAAATACAGGTCAAGTTCAAATTTGGTCATGGTTCGATGATTTTTGGCAGAGTTATGCTCCTTTTACTTTGAAAATAATATGAAATTTTCAGTTTCCGTTCATAAACTCCCCAATGGTACAACACATTCAACTCAAACTTGACATATGGATACGTCAAAGGAATGCGCAGGTCAAGTTCAAATTTGGTCATGGTTCGATGATTTTTGGCAGAGTTATGCCCCTTTTACTTTGAAAATAATATGAAATTTTCAGTTTCTGTTTATTATCTCCCCAACAGTATTAAACATTCAACTCAAATTTGACATATTGATACGTCAAAGGAATGCGCAGGTCAATTTCAAATTTGGTCATGGTTTGATGATTTTTGGCAGAGTTATGCTCCTTTTACTTTGAAAATAATATGAAATTTTCAGTTTCTGTTTATTATCTCCCCAACAGTATTAAACATTCAACTCAAATTTGACATATTGATACGTCAAAGGAATGCGCAGGTCAATTTCAAATTTGGTCATGGTTCGATGATTTTTGGCAGAGTAATGCCCCTTTCACTTTGAAAATGATATGAAATTTACAGTTTCTGTTCATTATCAACCCAACAGTGTTACATATTCAACTCAAAATTGACATATGGATATGTCAAAGGAATGCGCAGGTCAAGTTGGAATTTGGTCATGGTTCGATGATTTTTTGGCAGAGTTATGTCCCTTTCACTTTGAAAATAATATAGATACATCTTAGGAATAAGCAGTTTAAGTTTGAATTTGGTCGTGGTTCAATGATTTTAGACAAACTTATCTTTCCTGAATGTTGGAAAAATTTTGAACTTTCAGTTTCACCACTCATACTTTTGTGGAAATGTATATAGCCATTATGTTGGCTACAAATATGCAATATGCTATTTTTAAAAGGTTAAGACTGAATAATTTCAGTGCCTTGAACATTGTATAAAAATGGTTTGTGTTAACATTGAAAAGTTTTAAGGGCTTTGAACTTAGAATGAAAAAAATAATTTGTGCAAACAAATTTGGAACTAAATATTATAACATTTGAAATTTTGGCTGCATGCGGGGGCATCCGTGGCATGATGACACATTTCTAGTTTTGTTCTAGGTTGTAAGCTGGGATTTTATGGCAGTAAATGCAGTAATGAGTGCACATGTGAGGAAAGCTGCGTCTGCAATCCTGTCACAGGGGCGTGTAACTACACATATACTCAGGAAGATTATCTTCAATGTAAAACTTAATATATATTTATGTTTTTAGCTTGTCTGTTTCAAAAAAAAGTTGAGCTATTATGATTGCTGCATCATTGTCGTTGTTGATTTTTGTTTTCAACAACCGTCTCTTTTTCCTCAAAGACTTAACAAAATATTGAACCTCCTTACAGCAACACCTCTCAGAAGCAATATTCATCTTCCAAAGAGTGTTTCTCCACACGGGTTGTTCTGTAGGCTATATTTTTTTTTTAATCTCAATAAAAAGCATGTTGGAAATTTCTTGATAATTATCAGTAATACTTATTCAGCAAAAGATAGTTGTTTGGCTAAACAATTGAATATGAATTTGCCATAAATCTTTTTTTTGTGTAATTTTTTAGCTGGTACATGTTTTGTAAAGAATCTAGAGCAGAAAAGGGAGGTGGAGTTAGCAATGGTCCAACAAAAACAGTAAGAGAATCTTATTTTAAAACTTGATTTAAAGGCCCATTAAGTCCCTGAAATGTTATCATTTTTTACTCTTTTTTTTTTTAAAGAAAATCTTTAGTTTTAGTTTTTGTTGCAGTCTTCCCAAAAATTTACTCATTGGCCATATAGATTTAATATCTTTTGCATCTTTTGTCTTTTGGCAATTGGTATGGTTATAGTGATTAAGTATTTTGCATGGATCATGGTCAAAATACTAATTTGTTTACAATTTGCTGCCTTTATGACACATTACTGCATGTTCTGTGCTACTTTCCTTAATTCCTTAATAGTTTAACATCTAACATGTTCTAAATCCATTATCAAAACAATATTACACACATGGTTGACCTTTCTGTAGAATTAAACAAATTATTTCTGAGGCATAATATGCCTTTAACCAAGAATTGATATGTTTCTGTATAATCATAGGATCAATAATTTTTTACTTAATATGTTCCATTATTTAGACACCTTGTTGAATAGAATATTGATCTGAATATGTCATTGCTCTTTTATTCTCATTTATATATAAAAATCTTTAACACATGTTGTCCATGATTCATTAACATTAGAGGAAATTCAAAATATCACGTATCTGATTTTATATTTTTCATATGTTATGATAATCAATTACTTTTTAGCTCGACTTTTCTATGAAAAGGGGAGCTATCCTACTTGCCCCGGCGTCGGCGTTAGCGTTAGCGTTAGCGTTAGCGTTGGCGTCACACCTTGGTTAAGTTTTTCGTACCACCCCACTTTATTTCAGAAGTATTACAAGTATGGCTTTGAAACTTACCATACTTGTTCACCATCATAACCTCCATCTACAGACAAGAGTACATAACTCTGTCAAGGTTTTTGACAGAATTATGGCCCTTTTTTGACTTAGAAAGTGTATTGAGCTTGGTTAAGTTTTTTGTACCACCTCACTTTATTTCAAAACCATTGGAGGTATTGCTTTGAAACTGACCATACTTGTTTACCACCACGACCTTCATCAACAGACAAGAGGACATAACTCTGTCAAGGTTTTTGACAGAATTATGCCCCTTTTTGACTTAGAAAATACATTGAATATGGGTAAAATCCACTTATTGCCTTAACCCTTTGAGATATTGCTTTGAAACTTTTAATGCTATTTCACATCATTACCCCCATCTGTACGCAAGAGAAGGTAACTCTGTCAAGGATTTGTTTTAAAAATTAAGGCCTTTTATCGACTTAGAATCTTGGTTAAGTTTTTTGTACCACCTCACTTTATTTCAAAACCATTGGAGGTATTGCTTTGAAACTGACCATACTTGTTTACCATCACGACCTTTATCAACAGACAAGAGGACATAACTCTGTCAAGGTTTTTGACAGAATTATGCCCCTTTTTGACTTAGAAAATACATTGAATATGGGTAAAATCCACTTATTGCCTTAACCCTTTGAGATATTGCTTTGAAACTTTTAATGCTATTTCACATCATTACCCCCATCTGTACGCAAGAGAAGGTAACTCTGTCAAGGATTTGTTTTAAAAATTAAGGCCTTTTATCGACTTAGAATCTTGGTTAAGTTTTTAGTACCAGTCCACTTTTTGACTGAACTGTTTGAGATATTAATTTGAAAGTTGGAATACTTGTTTACAATCATGATTCCCAAACATGTCCAGGAGAAGGTAATTCTGTCAAAGATTTTATTTGAATTATGGCCCTTAACTGTCAATGTTTTGTATTATAGGCAAGCACTAAAAAAGTCGAGCGCGCTGTCTTACGGACAGCTCTTGTTGTATCTGTCGTGGATTACTATTAAAATGTTCACCAATAACAAATACAAATGTAATGCTTTTTGATAATGTCACTTTGTACCAAAGACAGAAATTTTGAAAGTGAGTGAAAAAAATAGATCCTTAAAAATTTAGATTTTATTTTCTGTCTAAGCTTCTTTACTGTCTAAGTAAGCTCATTATTTAGTGTCTGACTAAGTTCATATGCTGTTTAACTAAACTCATTTACTGTATTAGTTCATTTGCTGTGTAACTAAGCTCATTTGCTGTCTAAGCTCTTTTGCTGTCAAACTAACCTCTTTTGCTTTCTAACTAAGCTCTTTTGCTTTCTGAGTAAGCTCATTTGGTTGGCTGATCAATATAACTATTTATATTTTTACTGTATATTTAAAATGAACATTTTTCCAAACTAAAATCGAAAAAAAATTATGGGATAAAATTACTATTGTATGATTTAAAATTGTATCAGCTTTTTATACGCCCGTTTGAAAAACGGGACGTATTATGGGAACGCCCCTGGCGGGCGGGCGGGCGGGCGGCGTCCAATTTTGTCCGGAGCATATCTCCTACATGTATGGAGGGATTTTAATGAAACTTCATAGAAATGTTCACCACTATGAGGAGCAGTGTCGCGCACATGAACCAGGTCTCTAGGTCAAAGGTCAAGGTCACACTTAGAGGTCATTGAAAAATGCTTGTCCGGAGCAAAACTTCCACATGTATAGAGGGATTTCAATATTACTTGGCACAAATGTTCACCATTGTGAGGCGGAGTGTCGCGCGCAAAATTCAGATCCCTGCGACCAAAGTCAAGGTCACACATAGAGGTCAAAGTTCAGATAAAACAATGAAGATGTGTATATGGACCATTTAGTCATCATTTATTGAGGGATTGTAACACAAATGGTCATTATCAAGACTATGGCTGTGATACATATAATTAAGGTCAATATATACAAGGTCAAGGTCACTAAAGATGATGAAATATCCAGATTTGTCCGGAGCATATCTCCTACACGCATGGAGGGATTTTAATGAAATTTCATAGAAATGTTCACCATTATGAGAAGCCATGTCACGCACATGAATTAGGTCTCTAGGTCAAAGGTCAAGGTTACACTTAGAGGTCATTGGAAAATGCTTGTCCGAAGCAAAACTTCTACATGCATAGAAGGATATTAATATAACTTGGCACAAATGATCACCACTGTGAGGCAGAGTTTCCTGTCCAAAATTCAGGTCCCTGCAGCATAGGTCAAGGTCACACAGAGGGGTCAAAGTTCAGATAAAATATGAAAATGTGTATTCGGACCATTTAATTATCATTTATTTAGGGATTGTAACACAAATGGTCATTATCATGACTACGGCTGTGACACATGTACTTTAGGTCAATATATGCAAGGTCAAGGTCACTAAAGATGGTGAAATATCCAGATTTTGTCTGGAGCATATCTCCTACATGTATGGAAGAATTTTTATAATACTTTATGGAAATGTTCACCACCATGATATGTATTGCTCCATGCATGATCCAGGTCTCCGGGTCAAAGGTCAAGGTCACACTTAGAGCTCATTGAAAAACGCTTGTCCGGAGCAAAACTCCTACATTCATAGGGGGATTTCAATATAACTTGGCACAAATGTTCACCATTGTGAGGCTGAGTGTCGCACGCAAAATTCAGATCCCTGCGACCAAAGTCAAGGTTACACATAGAGGTCAAAGTTCAGATAAAAATTTGAAGATGTGTATAGGGACCATTTAGTCATCATTTATTGATGGATTGTAGCACAAATGGTAACTATCATGACTACAGGTGTGACACATTTAATTTAGGTTAATATTTGCAAGGTCAAGGTCACTGGAGATGATTAAATATCCAGATGTTGTCCGGAGCATATTTTCTACATGCATGGAGGAATTTTAATGTTACTTTATAGAATTGTTCACCCCCATGAGACGTAGCGCCCTGCACATGAACCAAGTCTCTAGGTCAAAGGTGAAGGTCACAGTTAGAGCTCATAGAAAAACGCTTGTCTGGAGCAAAACTTCTACATGCATAGAGGGATTTCAATATAATTGGCACAAATGTTCATCATTGTGAGGCTGAGTGCCGTGCATAAAATTCAGGTCCCTGCGACCAAGGTCAAGGTCACACATCCTGTGCATATCTTCCCTACTGATTTGTTTTAAGGTTCATTTAACAACACAGTGCCAAGAATAAAAACTTGCTTGCTAGATAACACTTATCCATAATGCTCCCATCTCCATCTAAAGCTTTCGTAAACGGGCGTATTTTGTGACTATGGCACCCTTGTTGTTGAAGAGTTACCGTATGCAAATAACATGTATTTCAGTTTGGTGATTAATGCTTTGTAGTTTGACAGCTAAACTTAGTATTGACATATAAAAAATTAATTGGAAGAATTAATTTGAAGGGAAAAATGTTTGTAAAATATATATTTTTTTATATTTCAGAAGTGCAATAGTATCTGTGATAATCACAACTGTAATAGCAGTTATCAGCATAGTGTTAAACATTGCCCTAATTTGTAAAGTTCGCTCAAAGTGCCGAGATAAAAACAAGAAGAAGAAATATAAACGTGCCAAATCCACCAATGGTAACGTGTTTTTATTCCAAGGACAGCAGTATTCCAGTTTAACATCGTCTACGCCCAGTGACGAATGTGATGAAACTGCTCTCATCGAAAAGCCAAAAGATTTTGTGTCATGACGTCACTCAGGGTGTTGCGTAAAGAAAAATTAGCCATGCCATGACAAAACCAACATAATGGGTTTGCGTCCAGCATGGATCCAGACCAGCCTGCTCATCTGCGCAGTCTGATCAGGATCCATGCTGTTCTATTACCAACCCTATTACAAGTAGAGAAACTGATAGGGAACAGCAAACTGCATGGATCCTGATCAGATTGGCGGATCAAAGGCTGGTCTGGATCCATGCTGGTTGCAAACGCATTATGTTGGTTTTGTTGTGATGCGCATTTTATTATGTAATTTATTCTAAATTGATATTATGATTTATCATTCCTGTACAAAAGATACTGTATATATCCAAGGGTGGCCATGATTTGTTGCCCTAAGCATTTTTAACCATTCTTGAATGATGCACTATATTTTCTAATGATCTAAGCGTTTTATGTTGAAGAAATTTGGCAAATACATTTAATTTACTTTGTTGTTAAAAAATATCCAACTGTTTTCTTTCTAAACAAACATTTGTTGAGACTTTGTGACACATACACAGTAACGGTGTTGACTCGAGGACAGGGACAAATATAGGGTACATGATAATATGTTTGTTATCCTGGTATGCCAGGTATAAAATATTATTGGCCATATCTCGGGTTAGCCCAAACTTCTGTGATGTTACAAATTTTTTACATATTTTGAAGTTTTTAAAATGTTTTCTATAAATTTTTCATATGAAGAAAAAAAATTTGCAAAGGGACTTTTAAAATTAAAAAGCTTTTCATATTGAACATGAAGATCAGAGGGAATGGGAGGTGCATCTTGATTTCCTAAACTTTTCATTAGGGAAATTTTTAAAAAAATGCTTAAAAAATACCTTTTAGTATAAAGGAGAGGTTCATTTATGACATTGACCTTTTAATGATGTTGCTGTGCTCTGTTTCTTGGGGAATCTAGAAGGGAGAATTTTTATTGTGTTTTCCCTATTGTACAATTTTTGCTGCACATACACTAGTGATAATACTCATGTTTTTAATTGTTGCAAAAAGCAAATTACAGTTTCATAGTAAGGATCTTGTCTAGGGTCTCCTTTTGGCAAATGAAGGTAGGCAAAATTAAAAAAAAATTAGGAGATTTTTCCTTTTTTAATTGGGGAAAAAAATATATGAACTTGTGAATTGAAGGCTCTACCTTGACCTTCAAAAATTAAGGAAAATCTATTTTCAGTATTAGTTTTTTTATGTGACGTTTGTGTTTTATCAAGATATTTTGTTTATTTTTTTTTGTCTAAATTATTCTTTCTATTGAATGAAATTTTGAATCATTGAAATACAAATTAGTGAAATATTTATTATGAATTTTGAAATCAGAAATCCTAGTTCAGCAATAACTGTACCCATCAAAGTGCTATTGTTATTTTTAATGCTCATGTTGAATATATATGTTTATTGTTATATATTGTATGTATATGTACCTGCTATTAGTATACATGTATTTACTAGTATCAGCTCAGCTATTGGAAGAATAGGGAGAGCTATTGTACTACTGCAGACATTGGCATTGATGTCACCTTTACACTATAGTTAAGTTTTTACATCTGGAAACGTTAAAGAACATGTCAAATGAATGATTTAGGTTTGTTTCAGTCATACAATATCCACAATATCTGTTAATGTAACTTCCAGGGTTTGTTCAAGTAACATGACTAGTTTTAAAAATACTCGGTGATTCTGTTAGCGTCTAAATTTTATTCAACATATATAGATATATTTACGCTTCAAACCCAAAATATTATAGAATTTATACAGAAATTCATGCTTGGACTGTCACAAATGTCATTTTAGCGTGATTTGAGTACATAAGATAATTTTGATATTTTTGTCATTTATTTTCCTGAGTATCCCTTTAAGGCTATAATATTTAATAAAGAATTGTAAATTTTATTATTTTGCATTTTAATTTACTGCAAAAAAATGTATGCATTAAATGATTTTTTTACAGAGGACTGCATTCATAAAAATTATTAAAATATTTGGCAAAACAAATAATTACTCTATCTTAATTTCGTAAATTTAATTTCTTGTGTGTAATCTATTAAAAGGTTTAAAGTGTTTATGTAAGAAAGCTGTTTAATATTTTTAGACTGGATTTATGATTGTTACTTTGATATAATCTGTGTAAAGATATTGGTAGACTTGTTTGTTGGTTTGGCAGTATGCCTTCAGATTCATGTTATTTTTTATGAAAATTTTTAATATGTATTGTCAAGTGAACAAAGAAAGTAATATACACATTGCAAACAGCACTTAAAATCTTGGAAAATAACCAAAAATAGTTCAGAAGATCCAAAAATAGCCCTTAGTGTTTTAGTCACACAGTAGAAATATGGTATGAGATACTGCACAATTTATTGCATATATAACATATTATTTCTTTAATTGTGAATATTTTACTTTTCTTAAAATTTTACTACATTTTTCTCAAGTTTGATTATTTTGAAATATTTAAGCTCATCTGGAGGCATGCAGTTTCAAAATCATGATGTCATTTAATTTGTTCTCTTTTAACAATGAAATCCGAAATTGTTTATGTTGTTGTCATTTTTATGAATATGTACATTTTTACAGAAGATAGAGTATATTTTTAAAGTACATTTCTACTGTGATTTTCATTTGAGATAAATTTTATTCTTCTGAATTCAAATAATGTATAGGGTTAAAAATGGGGTTTACCCTCCCGTGGGAAAATTTCCCTTTTTTAAATAAACAAGAGGGGAAAATTTATTGGGGATATTTTAGTAGCCCCTGATTTAAAAAATTTCAAGTGGTCTGCACTTTTTGCATGCATAGATTTAGATGCCACCAGCAGGCTTTATGAGTTAAAATCATACACAAACTTTCTTCTGATTTATAGGAGACATTTGTTTGTTGTCAGTGAATATGGGATATATTACACTTACAAATAGAACATTTTAAATAATTTCAAAAGCAAATAAAAATATTTAAAGAAAAACTCTTAATTTCACAAAACAAAATAACTCCATTTTGAAAGTAAGAAATATATTCTGATACAAAAAAATGTTCATGTATTATTAGAATTGTTTTAAATGTGTTGTTAACAAAAATAAATCTATTTTCATAAAAATTATTTTGATGTTACTGAATGAAGATTTGATGCATATTTTAACATAAATGTACATGTGTATGTTTAGTTGTAATTGAATGGCAAGATTGTATCTTTGTTTACATATATATGATAATATAAATGTTCCTTGTGCAGTGTAGATAACAAATTCCATATTTTGTATATTTACGAAAATATTGAAAATATGGAGTTTGTTATTTCTTAAATACTATTATTTTATCTATAATAATATATATTATATACATCTCATTATCAGTCTTGTTTGAAATGAGCCGCGTCATGACAAAACCAACGTAATGCGTTTGCGACCAGCATGGATCCAGACCAGCCTGCGCATCCGCGCAGTCTGATCAGGATCCATGCTGTTCGCTTACAAACCCTATTACAAGTAGAGAAATTGATAGGGAACAGCATGGATCCTGATCAGACTGCGCGGATGCGCAGGCTGGTCTGGATCCATGCTGGTCGCAAACCCATTATGTTGGTTTTGTCATGATGCGCCTTAAATATTTATTAGTTATGTTTTATGAATACTGTTGAAAAAAATACATATATGAAATAAATATTTAAATTATAATTTATTTTTATTAAAATAATGGTTTAGCCCCGATTTTCATGTATTCCCTAAAAATCCCTTAATAAGCCTGCCCTGAATATAAGCCGTCCTTTAAAATAAACCTCAATTTTCTTACAGTCCAAAGCAACTTGAAAGAAAGCCTGTCTGAAAATTTAACAATTTATCAGATACACCTTGTGTAAACATCTAAATTCTCCAAAATTCATTGTTTACCAGCAATGAGATGAAAGCTCTCTAAAAAATATTCTCACTAATTGTATAATTATAAACGTTTAATAGATTTACCTTGGGTGGGCGGGGCATTATGATTATTTTAAGTACGGGAATATTTATTAAAGAAACAAACAAATACTCCTAAGCTACCGAATACAGACTCCTAAAACAGAAAAATCTTCATTCATGCGCATGTTAATTCATTTCATTTACTTGAATTTGAAATGGCCAGAAAAAAATCAAGTGAGACTGAGATGTATCAACGTTGAAAATAAGCCACTAATCTCACACCAACCATTTTAGTCAGCTGCAGCTTATCATCAAGTTTTTAGGGTATTCAATTTCTACACACAAACAATTTAAACTCATGGGACAAACTGTCTTTATCTTCATTATATTAAATGTGATTTAAGTTGCTATTCCATTCATATGAATAAATATACCTCCTTTTCAAATGATCGAGTTACCACACCTTTCATAGGATTTAAGTAACGATCCCATTCATACTATGATGTAAGACTTTAGTTACCTCCCTTGTCATCTGATCGTAGTTATCTACCCTTCAATACAATTAAAACCTCTCCTTTCCTGCGATGGAAATTACCTCCCCTTTCATATTAATGCCACACCAACATTGAAAAAAGTCATTGAAAGACAATGGTTGTCACATCGTGCATTGTTCCAGGTATAAGCAGACGACTTGGCTGAATATCTTTCTTCACATAAAAGTTCAATGTCCTTGACAGGATTTGAACCCACAGCAGTGAGTAGTAAATGATTTAAAGTCTACAACCGTAATTGCTTGGCCACAGTTGGCCTCTTCCCTTTTATCAGGAGGCTTTTCTGCTTCAAGTGGTTCACCTACATGCCTGCCTGTATCTAGAGGGATCTGTACCCACAGCTTAGAGGGCACAGGTGATATGAAGTCAGCCACCTTAAAGGCTGTATTGCTATAACTGGTTGAAAATAATATATGCGTAAATTTCCAAATTGTGTTATTGCATTGTTTTTGTCTGATGGACAGTCTAAAAATATTGTTTTATATCATACAAATTGATATTGGATTAATACAAGGAAACAAAATTTTCTGCTGCTATTCTTAACAG